AAAAAAAAAAAAAATTTTGAAATTCTTGGGAATCGGTCAGTTGACCGACTTGTTGGTAACAAAAAAAAAAAATATTAGAAATTATTATGGTTTTTCATTTTGGCGAATTGGGCAATCGTAAAACCCTCAAAAGAATCTTAAATAAATTTATTTATTTTCTCACACACATCAACACAAAAAACAACTCAAAAAAATATTATATTATTGTTATTTGTTAATTTATTTATTTAAATTAAATTATTAAATAAAAAAAAAAATTCTTTCATTCTTTCATATGATTGGAATCATAATCTAAATAAAAATTTCAATAAAAATTTCAAATAAAATTTCAGGAAAAAAAAAAGTGTTAAAAACGATATTTAAAAAAAAAAAAAAACCATAACCGCTGTTGAACAACCCCCAACATGTTGCTACCTCAGCTTTATTTAGATTGTGCAAGCCTCTAATAAAGTTATATTTACTCGTCAAAACTGTTAAGTGAAAAAAAAAAAAAAAATAAATAAAAAAAAAATAAATAAAAAAAAAATAAATAAAAAAAAAAAAAATGAAAAAAAAAAAAATTATAATAATATATCTTATCTATCGATCCTTATTATTATTATTTCTTTGAAAATAGTTAAATAAATCTATTTATTTATTTATTATAAAAAAACATTTCTTTTATTATTAATTATTTTTTTATTTGTTTTTATTTGTTTTTATAACAAAAAATATTATTTTTGATCAAATTTTCTTTTTTTGTTATTTACTATGACTTTATTATTATTAAAACTACTATGGTTATTATTATTATTATATGTATTATTATTACTAAAACCAACATTACTATTACCATTACTTGCTAATGGTTTCGATTTTTTTAGTTCCATATAATTATTATTTATACTGTTTACATTATTATTTACATTATTATTTACAGTATTATTATTATTGAGCAGAGTTATATAGTTTGGATATTTTTGAAGATAGGCCAAAATTTTTGTATCCTTCAAAAATAAAACTTGGTTAAAATTTTTTGGTAAATGAGATTGAATTTTTTCTATTGGAACACTTTCGATAACTCTGAGATTGTACTCCACCCATATCTTATCAAATAAATATGATAAATGTTCTTTTAAAGTTTCTTTAGTTATAAGATTATTTTTATATAAATATGTTAAAATTTTACAATGAAGTACAATAGCTAATTTAACTGGAATTTTGGCGGATGCCGAAGCTATGGTTGGATTTAATGATGAATATGCATATGGTATTCTAGTGCCGCTAATTGAAGGAGATAATCTATCATTATTTATACCTCTACTGTCGCTATTAATATTATTTATATTAATAGTTGTATCATTTTTTAAATTGTTTGTTGTCATTTCTTTTTCTAAAAATAATCTTCCTAAAACTCCAAAACTAAATTCCATATTATTAACTGTACTATTATAAATAATAACACTCATTACAAACATTATATACCAATAATAATTTTTTTGTTTTTTTGAATATGGGGTGAAAATAAAAAATATAATATTATTATTTTTTCTGGGTAATTAAATAAATCTTCGAAATATTTAAAAAAGATATATTCCCGCTATTGTCTGTAAATATGGCAAGTTTTTTTATGATCTTGATTTTTCGGGACTTTTAGATCATATAAAAACAAATAAAAAAATAAAATAATTGAAAAATTTATATAAAAATAAAAATAATACACAGAATAAATCTTTTTAAATTTTATATTTACAATAAATAAAATCGAAAAATATTTTTATAAATTTTTTTTTAAAAAAAAAACTTAACTATTTATTTATTTAAAAATATTTATAGAAAGTTAAGAAATTTAATCGAATAAACCCATACCCTATTATTAATTAAAAAAATATATGATATTAGTATAATGGTGATTATAAAGATTGTATATTTTGTATTTAAAAGATAATTACCATATCGTCGTCGGATTCTTCTTTCTTTTCTTCTTTCTTTTCTTCTTTCTTGGCAGCGGCAGCTGGGGCAGCGGCAGCAGCAGCAACTGGGGCGGCAGCAGCGGCGAATGAACCGATTTTACCTTTACCAGCAGCAATTAAGGCATTGACGTCTTTACCTTCTAATTCTTTGACAACAGCGTTGACACGAGCTTCATCAACTTCGATACCAACTGATTGGAGAACTTTGGTAACATCAGCAGCTGATGGAGTTTTACCTGAAAGTGAGGCTAATAAGTAAGCAGCTAAATATTTCACTATTAAATTTAAAACATCATGTTAATTAATCGTTCGTTTTTTTTTTTTTTCTTTGATTGATTGATTGTGTGTGTTATGTATCTATCTTTTATCTTTAACTCTAATCTATTTTAATTGATGGATTGATATGGATAACTGATAAAATATAAAGATAAAAGATAATTTAATTATAATTAAGATATATACTTTTGAGTGGTGCCTAGACTATATAACGTAGAGAAGGTATCAATGTATTATCACAACTTTTAAAAGTTTTTTTTTTTTTTTTTTTATGCCACAAAAAAAAATTTTTTGAAAAAAAAAAATTTTAAAAAAATTTAAAAATTTCGTAGGCAATAAAAAAACAAACGTTTCAAAAAATTTTTATGTGCACAATTTATTATAAATTTAACATAATAATAATATTTAACATAATAATAATATTTAATTAATAATTTAAAAATAGAATTAAAATTTTAGAAATAAAAAAGAATTGAATTTATTAATTGAATATTAAAATAGAAACAAGGTATTTTTGTTTTTTTTTATTTTTTATTTGGTGTTTATTATTTTTTTTTATTTTTTTATTTTTGGGTTTATTTTTAAAAATACGAAAATATTTTTTAAACAAATAAAGTTAATTTTTTTAGATGGTTAAATTTATTAAATAAATAAAAATATAAACATTAAATTTAAAACACATTTATTTGATTTTATCTAAAATTACAATTTTATTTAATTTTTTTTTATTGATTTGAATTTTGTTTATTAAATGAAAATTGGCAAAATGAAAAATCACTAATGGAAATATCACCGTCTAAAATGATTGGGAAATGATTTAATAAAATTTTACCAAACATTAATTCAGTTATTTTTGAGTCATACTGCTCCATAATGATATCTTTTTCTTTATTAACATATTTGATGACTGACTCGTCGTCTACTCCTATCAGTAACAATTCTAATGGTTTCATTATATTAAGTTTTTCGGTGATGTCAAATTGGATGATCTTTGAAATTTCCGAAATGTTTCTACCAATGTTTGATTCTAAATCACTATTAATACGGTCGATTAAAGATGTGGTAAATATTGAGGTTTGGTTTTTGTAAAGTTTGTTCATATTCTCTGGGATATTTGAGTATAAGTAAATGCTATCTATAATTTTAAAAAAAACAATAAAGGTTAGTTTATTATAATTGTTGTTTAAACTTAAAATATATAAGTACCTTTTATATTTTTAAACAATGGGTTTTCTACAAAAATAGAGGAACTTTTATCATCACTTGATTCATTGATTATATCGAAAATAAATAGTTTTTTAAAAGCTGATTTAAAAAGTGGTGTGGTATCAAAATTAACTTTATATTCATTTTTAAATATTGTAGATAGGTTATTAATAGTTTTGTTGATTTCATTTTGTGTGTTTTCTAAATGATCGATTGATTGTGATGCATCAGAAAAATCTATATGAATTTGTAAAAAATAAATAAAATGGTTAGATTTAAATGTTTTTTTGAAAAATAGTATAATAATGTAAATAGTTACTCTTTTCTTTATTATATGTACCAGTGTAGTAAAAAATAAAATCGATTGAATAGTCATTGTTTTTGATGTTGTTTTTCAAGTATTCCGAAAAGTCTTGAATATTATATGTTGTGTAACAAAAGAAACCACATTTATCAAATATTCTCTGAATCTGATTTACATTGTTTTTTACTCTCTCATTGTTTTCATTATCTCCAACAATGAATGCATTCTTTTTTTTTTTTGAATAGAAATATGAATTTAACAAGTCAATGTTTGATAAATCCTTTTCTGTTAATTCTTCAATGAGTTGAATAGATTTTAAGAGTAGATTTTTTATATCAGCATCTTTGATTGATCCTATTGATTTTTGACATGTTTGAATATAGCTTTTGCTTTGAAGTGGGGGAATTGAGTTTTTTTTTTCTAAATATTTTATAGTTCTTTTTAAAGATGATGATAGGTTTGATATTGTGATTCTGTAGTCTAAACATTCGAGGCCAGTACTATTTTTTTCTTCATTGCTTATATAGCTGAGTATATGATTTAATTCTTTAATATTTGACATTTTTTTTATTATTTTTTATTTTTTTAAATTATAAATTTTTTTATAAATTTTTTTTTAATTTATTTTGATGAAAGAATTATTAAAAAAAAAAAAATAAAATTTAAAAAAAATAAAATTTTATTTTTGATAAAAAAAATATTAAAACTTTGTATATATATTTTCAAATAAAATATAAATAATGTTAAAAAAAATAAATAAATTAAATAATGATATCTAATATTTCACAAAATATTCCACTGGGACAACAAGCACCAGCACAAGTACCACAGGCGCCGCCACAAGCACAAGCACCACAACAAACATCACAAGTACCACCACAAACACCAGCAACACAACCAGCAGCACAACCAGCAACACAACCAGCAACACAACCAGCAACACAAACAACAGCACAAGCAACAACACAAACAGCAACACAAACAGCACCACAGCCAGCACCACAACTCACAAACGTAAAATTTACACTAGAATTTAACAAACATAATCAATTTATGATTTTTTTAACAGATTTGTTAAATGAAATATTGGGTGAAGATTTTAATAGTTTTCTTAATTTTTTTGGTCAAAACTATGAAATCGAGGTTTTAGATTCGTTTCATACAATAATGATCAAGATTTCATCAAATTTACAATGTCTGGAATATTGCTTAGAAAAAGGAAGAGACCTTATCGGTAATAAAGATATTACCAATCTATACAAAAAATTAAACGAATATACTACCAACATTGGTCATTTAAGGTTTGGCGCTTTTGATTCATTAAAACAGTCAGCTAAAAGTATTAGAGTCGAAAAAATAAAATTCGAAGAAGATAGAAAATTGGATAGAGCATCTAATAATGTAAATGTTAATATCGCTGGTAAAGTTTATGGGGTTGTAGAAGTAGGAGCTAATGCGGATTTGGGTCGTATCGGTCAACTAATACTACAAAATCTGGGTCAAGAAAAATGCAATGAAATAAGCGCATGTCTCAGTAAATCATTTATAGAATTATCCGAAGCCTTTGAGCTCCATTACTATACATACATAGATCAGCCATGCATCGATTTCGAGGCAATAGGAATAAATGAGTTAAATAAAGATGATTTCACCACTTTTATAGACTCAATCAAAAAATTTAGAGAAGGGTTTTATATAAAAATACATAAGATAAAATACCAATCATCATTTATAAAATTAATAGAAAAAATTAAAAAATCAAAAAGTAAATGTCAGCTGATGTAAAATAAAATAATAATAGTAGTAATAAAAACAACAATAAAAACATAATTGTAATATAAAATCAAATCAGTTCTTTTTTTTTTTTTTAATAGAATTTAATTTATACAATAATTTACTTTTATATCGCTTTTTTTTTTTTAACATTCTAAAGTAAACTGTTGAATGTGAGATCACAACCAGATTTTTTTTAGATTTTATTTGTATGTATAAAACATTCTTTTTTATATTGTTTTGTTAACGAATTATCTTTTTAAATCAATTTTTGGTTCATTTTGTAATACAGTGGTTTCTTTACATAAACAAAATCCATTGGTTCTATTTTTACATTCGCAAGCAATTGTTTTTTTAGAAAGACTTTTATCTGTAATAGATGGAGATGGTTGTTCCATATATCTATCTATATTTGAAGCAACAAAGTTCGTTCGAGCCCATTGATTAAATTGATCAGACATTTTAATTAAACGAATAATAGTTCGTGGATTTTTTATAGAGAGTCGTGGTAATTGAGTAATTGGGTCTGTGCTATTTAAAAAAAATTGGTCATAAATTAAAAAATCGCCAATGGAGGCTTGACCATGAAAAATTTGTAAACTATTTAAAAGAAGTTTACCAAATACAAGTTCTGTAATTTCTGAACCACCAAATGCTTCTTTAAACTTTTTTCTTTGTTCATTGAGTATTTCTTCATTAAATTTGATGTTTTTGTTTAAGTTTTCTTTGTATTTGATATCGAATTCATCTTCGGGTTTAATTGTAATTAGTCTATCGACCATATCATTCTTTATGGAGTTTGAAATGGATGCAAGGTTTCTACCGGTGCCTTTTCTTAAATCGGTTTCAACATTTTCTATGAGTGATTTTGTAAAAATTGATGTTTGACTATCGTACATTTTATTTATGGTTTCTGGTATATTTGAATATAAATATGCTACATCTGTAATTAATGGTGATTGTTAGTATAAGGTTACTATAGTGAATGTTACGATGATTGATGTGCACACTACTTACCTTTTGACATTTTTAATGAGGGTTCTTTGAAATTATTAATTAAATCTGAAATACTATTGGATTCTTTGTCAATAATATCTAAAATAAATAAATTTCTAAAATTGGCTGAAAGTGTGAATTCTCTTTTATATTCACTATTTGGTTTAATTCTACTATCAAATTCTTTGTTGGCACTGTCTTGAATGGATATTCTTTTTTCTTCCAATAGTGCAACCAATTGACTTATTAGAGGTTTTTTTTCAATGTTTAATATAAAATCACTATTTGGATCATCTATATTATATGAAATAATGGAAAGGGTTAGAATGGTTACTATTGGAAACAATAATTTATAAACATACCTATTATGGTCCCATTAAAGTATATAATGGTATCAACTGAAAATTCATTGTATTTGAATTCATTAACAAAATCGTTGGTAAATTCGCTGAGTGAGGTGCCAACTTTGCATGTAAACTTACACTCCTCTAATAGGGTTTTCACCTTTTCTACATTTGATTCGGCACATTCATCATTTTTATTATGGAGTAAAAATGCTTTTTTGACTTTATCTGAGTAGAAATAGTTTTCAAATTTGCCTCTTTTATCTGAATAATTGGTTGGTATGCCTTTTTTTAAATATTCTACCGCATCTTTTGATTCCTTTAATTTGATTTCATATTCTTTTTTCTCACTTTCCTCTAAATCGAGATGCTTTAACAAACTGAATGCTTCTTGATAGATCCTAAGGTACTTTCTTTCTAAATTGCCTGGATACTTGCCTTCGACTCCATTCAAAAAATCATGCAATGTTTTTCTAAGTTCTGTTAATAATAAAATAGCAGTTTTTGATTCTTGTGATTGTTGTCCTTTTAATAGTTGATTTCTAAATTCATTTTCTTTACACACAAGAAACTTTAAAAAAGATTCTAATTTTTCAATATTTTTTTTTTTATTATTTTCGTCTTCGATTTCTGCCATTTTTTTTAAATATATTATTTATTGCTTTTATAAAATTACAAGATTTGGTGGTCGATATGGAATATGGATATATAAATAAATAAAATTATTATAAAATTATAAAAAAATTTAAATTAAAAAAAATAAAAAAAAAAAATAAAAAAAAAAAATATTTTTTTTTTTTTTTTTTTCAAAATTAATTATAATTTTTTTTTAATAATAAAATATAATTGTATAACATAAAATACTATAATATTAACCAATAGTATAATAATAAAATAAAATATAGAAAAAATATAGTTTAAATGTCATCAGATCACATTGATAGTAGTTTTGATATTGATACTAGTTGTGATAATGAGGGAGATGATGGAAAAAAAAATAAAATGAAAACATCCATAGATATGGGTTGTTATATAAATTCATCTATTGTTGTAAATAATAATAATGGTGATGAAGAGATTTATGAAGGTGATACAGATATAGAGGTTAGTGATTGCGATCAAAGTTTTAGTACACAACAAGAATGCGATCAACCAGATGAATTTGCACCAACTCAGGTTTTAGATGATGACTCATATGAGCCACAACAGTTTTATCGAAGTGATAGCATGTCAAGATTTAATGGGGTTTCGAGTAATAGACTCGATGAAAATGTAGATAAAAATATAAATAAAATATTTAATAGTCAATCATTCATAAATGATAGTAATAATAGTGTAAATAATAATAACAACAACAACAATAATAACCAAATCAATTTTAGGCAATTGGTTAAATTAAAATCAACATTAAAAAACTATGAAATACCATATAAAGAGTTAATAATGGAAAAAGAAATTGGCAAGGGATTTTTTGGTAAAGTCTATAAAGCGAGATGGCGTGGTAAAAGTGTAGCAATAAAAAAGATAACATTGACAAGATTTAGGGATTTATCAGAACAGGAAATATTTGACAAAGAGCTATCAATTATGAGCAAACTATGCCATTCAAAGTGTGTAATGTTTATAGGTGCCTGTTCCCTGGATACATCAAATAAGTGTATAGTAATGGAATATATGGAGGGTGGTAGTCTAAGGCCATTATTAAACGAATTTTTAGAAAATAAAAAGCAAAGAGAGGAAGAAGACTATGACGAAGAATGGGAAGAGGAGAGTGATAATGAAGAGTTTGAAAATTTCCAGAAACAGTTTTTAGTTCCCCCACCACTACAATTAAGCATTGCACGTGATATTGCAGAGGGGATGAACTATTTACACACAAATTTCTCTGACCCAATTATACACCGAGACTTAACAAGTAGTAATATATTGTTGGACTCAAAATATACAGCAAAGATCAACGATTTTGGGCTATCAAAAGAATTAAAACCTGGTCCTAGCCAAATGACAGCTGCAATGGGATCACTTGCTTGGATGGCACCCGAGTGTTTCAAAGCTGAAAAGTATAGTCAAAAGGTTGATATTTATTCATATGCAATCATTCTTTGGGAATTAATTACATGTCGTGATCCATATAATGGTATGGAGCCTTTACAAATGGCATTTTTAGCGTCAGTAGAGGATTATAGATTACCTTTAGACGATATACCCCAATATTGGTCCCAATTAATTACAAAGTGTTGGCATAGAGATCCTTTACAACGTCCTTCATTCTCTGAAATATTACAATTTTTAGATCAAATTGAACAAAATCAAGATTATCAAAATTTAAATCAAATTTATAATAGTTATAAAAATAAATTAAAGAGCAATAGGAATAATAATAGTAATAATGATAAATCAATAAATAATAATAGAGGTAGTGGTAGTGGAGGGGTGGGGTATTATGCAAAAAGTAATAATGGAGGTAGTAATAATAATATATCATACAGTACAACCGATATAGATAAAGATATAGGTGATGATAGTAAAGCTGATAAATTATTTTCATTAAATCAAAATAGACAAAAAACCTTTATAATAGGTAGTCCTCAGAAATCAACATCAGAACCAACACTAATTCCATCAAATATCAATAATAATAATAATAATAATAATCAAAATAATAATAATAATAATAATAATAATATATGTGATATAATAAAAAAAATCAAATTTATAGAAGAGAATAAAGCATTTTTAATATCATACCACGATAATAGTTTAATTAAATATTTTAATATAGAAAATAATCAATTTTATGGATCTTTAAGAATTGAAAAATCAATTGTAGATATGAAGTATCAAGTTATAAATAATAAAGTGTTTTTAGCTGTAGCAACATCAAATAACAATTCAATTTCAATATTTGATTTATCAAGTGTGGAGAGTTCCCAAGTGTTACCTGAAGATCATGTAATAAATCCAATTAAGACTTTCCATTGTGATCCAACACACACCATCAATTCAATTACATGGAATTCTCAAAATATAATTACCGCATCAAAGGATAAAACTATAAAGATTTGGGATGTCGAAAATAGTAAAGCTCTTTCGACTATGGACCATGGTGGTGTGAATGTATTGTCCATAGATTCACAGTCATACCAACCTTTGATGTGTTCGGGTGGCGAAGATGGTAAAATTAAATTATGGGATCTTCGTAATGCTCATTGTTTCCGTACATTTGGTAATCAACCAGGTGGTAGTAATGGTCCCATTACATCATTGGTTATTAGATCTCCTCATACCGACCCAGTTTTATTTAGTGGCTCTTCTGAAAATAGTACCCTCAAAGTATGGAATATGTACAGTTCAACTTGTTTGGACTCATTTAGATCCCATAGCAAGGATTTATTAGATATTCATAATAACAATTCAATTAATAGATTAGTAGCTTTTTCATCTGATGGTTTAGTTTCATTTTATGATAATAATAATTACCACATAAATAATAACCATATCAACAATAATAATGAACATCAATCAGATGAATCAATTAGTTTTATAAAAAATATGACACTAAATAATATAGATTCAAATAATCCTTTACAATCAGCTCAATTAATATCTAAAAATACAATAGTTTATTCTTCAAATAATAAATTATATTCATCAACATTTTAATTATTAATAATTTAAAGTTCAAATTCGTTTTTTTTTTTTTTATTTTATTTTTTTATTTTTTTATTTTTTTATTATTTTTTTTTTTTTGGATTTCATAAATCTTTTTTTTGCGACCAAATTTTTTTTTTTTTCAATATTATAATATTTATTATCTTTTGTTTCATAATTTTCTTGTATAATACTTTGTTTTAATAAAAACTATTTTTATTTAGATTTGGGATTATATGAGAAAGTTATGAAACAAAAAATAATAAAGGTGGATAAAAAAAAAAAATAAAAGTCCATATTTTCACTTAAATATTTAATGTTTAGATTAAATATAATAATATAATTATATTATATAATTTTTATTTTTATTTTATTTAAATTTAAATAAAAAACCCTTTTAATCAAATGGTCAGGTGATCATCATTTAATCACTAATTCCATCAACTATAGTAATATTATCTTTATTATAATAATAATGTAAATTGCCGTTTTAAAAAATTTTTTTTTAAAAAAAAATTTATTGTTTATAAAAATCTTGATTTTTTTTTTTTTTTTCAGTTAATAACTTTTTTTATTATGGATTTAATTATTTGTAATATTAATAATTGTAATAATAATAATAATAATAATAATAATAATAATAATAATAATAATAATAATAATAATAATAATAATAATAATAATAATAATAATAATAATAATAATAATAATAATAATAATAATAATAGTAATAACAATGATAATACAAATATAGATAAGAATAATAATGATCAAGATTATACTAAAATTTTATTTTTAAAAATAATAAATAATATTGTAATAAAAAGAATTATTTATTCATTCATTCGAATGTTTCAAAAGTACGAAGAGGTGACAGTTACAGATTTGGAATCTTTATTACAGCATGATCATAGAGATTTTATATCTCATTTAGTTTATGATTGTAATATTAGATTAAAAAAAGGTTATGTTCCAAACATCAAGACACTAACATTGGGTAATGGTTTCAATAAAAGGCTGACGGAGGGATGCATACCCATATCCTGCACCAAACTAGTTTTAATGAGAAATTTCAATCAAATTATTAAACCAGGAGAATTACCCTCGTCTATCAAATATCTAACTTTTTCAGACCATTATAAAATCAAATTATTAGAAGGTTCAATACCATCAAGCGTAACATATCTCGAATTTGGCCATCAATACAATATCACCTTGGAAAAAGGTATTATTCCCAACTCTGTTACACATTTAAAAATGGGTTTAGGTTATAATAGATATATGCGTGACCAAGCTATACCAAATTCAGTAAGAACCCTTATATTAGGTCTAAATTTTAATCAATCTATTACAACAACAGGAGCTTTACCTACTAATTTGGAGCGTTTGGATTTCGGGTGGGCATTTAATAAACCTCTAGTACCAGGATGTTTTCCCCCATCATTAAAATCGTTAAGGTTTGGTTCAAATTTTTCACATCCAATACCTGATAATTGCTTACCTCAAGGTCTTACTTTGCTGGAATTCGGTGAGTTTTTTAATCATTCTATATTAGGTAAAATACCATCTTCAGTAACATCCTTGCGAATTGGGTCCGATTATCAACATGATCTAGATGAAAATTGCTTGCCTCCGTCACTTTTAACACTTTCAATTAATTCAAAATATAATAATAATATATTTGGTAAGAATGTGCTGCCTCAAATGTTAACATCACTCTCTCTTTGTGGGTATTTTAATTATCAAATCCCACCAAATGCATTACCACAGTCTTTGTTGTTTTTAAAATTGGGTCATTATTTCAATTGTCCAATATTAAAAGATAGTATACCTTCCAATGTTTCCACTTTAATTATTGGGAAAATTTTTAACTATCCTTTAGAACCCCAATCACTACCAGAATCAATCACAACTATTTCAATCGAAAATTCTTTATATTCACATATACCATCACTTTCCTTTTTACCACAGTCAGTTAAAACTTTATATGTACCTTATGTTTTATATATTGAAATAAGTTCGGAACTTATTAAGCTCCCTCCATCAATAAAATTATTAATAAAAAGGATAGATAGATAATATTGTAAATATATTATTTAATATTAATATTTCTGTATAAAGATTAATATTATATTTAGTAAAAAAAATAATTTGTAAAGTTATTTATTTATTTATAAATATGCGCGGGTGTTTTATTTTG